CATTTATAAAAATCTTTCCATGCTTTTTTTATTCCTTATTAAATACTTCATTTTTAATTCTTTGCAGCGAAATGAGAGTTTACAATTTTCTTTGGTACAATTGTGTTGCATTTCATATATCATAATTACTATTACCTTTTAATCTATTATTAATGTAGACCAAGGTATTATATTCTATTATAAATAGCAATTAAAAATGTTATAATGTATGTTATATCTTAGTTTTGAGGACGGAATTTTTATAGCTTGATTTATGCGTATTTTATTTGCAAAATAGCGGGATTTTTTTACAAGAATACACTTCCCACTATTTTCAATTAAAATGCTCTAAAAATCCTTACTATAAAAATTTCCTTCACAGAACATAGGATAAAAAATAAAGTTGCAGCTCTTTTAAATCATTTTACTTCTACTTTTATTAGCTTCAGTTTTAATGTTTAGGTAAACCTTTATATAATCTATTTGTTTTTTCATTTCATATATTTGGGTAGCCAATACATTAAAATAGTTTTGAGTTCTGTTGTGCTTAGAGCATAAAATAAATCTGAGAGCTAAAACATTTCTTGATAAACCTAATAATTTACTCTCTGTTTCTTTAACCCCTCTCTGACTTAATGCGTATTTATTAAGCGGTAAATTCTCTTTAGTTGCCATATGGATTCCTCAAGTTAAAGATTTTATCTTAGACTTGTTTGCCAAAACAACAACTGCGAAATTTCAAAATCTATCTTCGCTTAAAGCAGTACCTTATTTGTGATTACCAGAAATAGTATAGTAAATTAAGATGAATTGGGAACTAGGAGCGAAGGCGGAGCCTAGAGGTATGCTGGTAGAGCAACGAACATAACGTCCATAGCTTATATTAATTGGCTATAGCGGAAATTCGAGTATAGGCTGTGGTATTTAATGATGATATAGTAAATACGGCCCCGCGCAGGCTCCAATTAAAATTTGAATATCACTAAATAAATCTCTTTGACGATATTTATATGTACTCTATGGTTTTCAACGAGCCTCATTTTATTTTAAGTTTAAGTTTAAAAGGTGAACGAGCTAAAACATTACCATTTCCCTAGGCTGTGTACACCTTTATTTTAGCCACAACATCAAGGGGGCGAACGCAATAAAGCCCATGAAAGAGGAAGTTTTTTTATCAAATCTAACAAATACCCGTCTAAAATGTTTGAGTTTACCACAGAAATATTCTACTAAATACCGTTCTTTGCTTTAAAATATATTTTTTCAATACTTCAAGTTTTACAACACGCTATAATTATTTCTCTTTAAACGATCTAAACATAGTGTCAGTAATGGGATCTAATAAATATCGAAGTAAGGTTCTAGTTCCAGTAACGATTTGTACTTCTGCTTGCATACCGGGATGAAGTTCCAAGTTCTTCGCTTTTGCAATCCTATTAAATTCTTCCATATTAATTTCAATCCTAGCAATATATACTGTCTCGCCAGCCTTTTGACTTCGATCTTGAACAATATCAGGAGATAATTTTACTACCCTACCGCTGAATAATGGGGTAGTTCTTGATTTAAAGGCACTGAAACGGATTTTAGCTACTAAACCTTCATGAACCGAATCTATTAACCTACTTGGAACCTGCGCTTCTATTATTAAATTATCATTACTTGGCGCAATCTCTAAAATAGGATTACCTGGAGCAACTACTCCACCTATTGTATGAAAATTTAGTACATTTATGATACCATCTACTGGTGATCTAATAACTACCCTATTTAGAGAATCTTTATAGGCATTAAACTGTTCTTTCAAGTGCACCACTTGCCCTTGCGCTTCTCTAAGCTCAGTTAATATTTTTTCAGTGATTTTATTTTGTAAATTGAGAATAGAAATTTCATTCTCAGAAATAGCGTGCCGAGTACTCGCTATTTCTGTATCTGATAATGCTATCTCACTCTTATATTGCGCTTCCTTAGACTCCAGTTCTAATAAAGCTGCTCTAGGGCTAAAACCTTTTTTATGCAATGTATTCATTGCTCTTAAGCGATCTTGGACTATTTCTAAGTTTTTTATAAAAGAAAGTTTTCTCGCCTCTAATCCTTCTATTTTTTTATTTAACTGTTCCACGCGCTGCTGATAAGCATTCCTTTCGCTTCTATGCACTTCTTTTTTAGAGTAAAATAAACTGGTTTGAGTATCAATAATTCTAGCTACATCTGGTAAATTGATATCATTTTGAAGCAGTTCAGGAAATTCAATCTTTTCTTTATCATCTCGTTCTGCAATTAAACGACTTTCAGTAGCTAAAGCATGCCTATATTGGCTTAAAGTGCTTTCATAATGAGATTTAATTTTAACATCTTCTAGCTCTAATAATTTATCACCTACTTTAACACTATCACCTTGGTTAACGAAAATGTTAGCGATAATACCTCCTTCATGATGCTGGATCACTTTCCTATTAGTACTTGCTACAACAATCCCTCCGGCTACCGCAGCACTATCCAGTGGAGCGCAACTTCCCCATATTCCACCAACTAAAACAAAAAATATTATGACATACGTTCCAAAGAGAATTGGAGAGCGAGCAACTTGAAGGACATCATTACGATTAGAATCAGTCTTTTTAGTGATAAAATTTATAAAGCGATCAAGATAATATAATATATTCTGAATGGCTTTAGAAATACTGACTATCATATTTGGGGAGATAATACTTTTTTTAGTGCTTTTTATATTTGCTGCATCTTTTTGTAAAGTTAACAGTTGCTTAAGTTGCTCCGGTGAAAACGAAGGCTTAGTATTATTTGACTTTTCTTCCATATTTTTTTACTTATTCATTAATGTGGATAACACCACTTTTTAGCATTTTAATTCGATTATGCATTTCTTCCGGCGTGCCGTGCAGAGCTACCATACCGTCTTGTAAGATCAATACTTTATCTACTACCGACAATACTGAAGGCCTATGAGAAATAACCAGCACAGAAATGCCCTTATCCTTTGACTGTTTTAAACAATTGGATAAGGCTACCTCTCCCGCTTCATCAAGATTAGCATTAGGCTCATCTAAAATAATTAGTTTAGGATTACCATAAAATGCTCTAGCAAGACCTATACGTTGCTTTTGTCCTCCTGAAAGATTAGAACCCGCAGGTCCAATGTCCGAATCATAGGCATCTGGTAATCTTAAAATCATTTCGTGAGCTCCTGCGATTTTAGCAGCCTCAATTACTTTTTCGGGATCCGGGTTTTCCAACATTCGAGCAATATTCTGTTTTACAGTTCCACTAAATAATTCTATTCCTTGTGGCAAATATCCTACATGCTTACCAAAATCTTCCCTATTCCAACGATATATTTCTCCTCCATCAAGTCGGACACTCCCTGAGTGAGCTTTCCATACCCCAACCAGCACTTTAGATAAAGTGGATTTACCCGCAGCAGAAGGTCCAATAATAGCTAATATTTCTCCAGGTTGCACTGCAAATGATATACCCTTTAGGATATATCGAGGTACAGCTGGTTGCGCGAGATAAGGGGGAACAGGAGTCGCATAATAAATATTTTCTACAGTCAAATAGCCTTTAACATGAGGAATAGGCATCGCTTCATCGCGGGAAGTAAAAGCATTGAATAATTGATTAATATTTTTATAGGATTTAATAGCCCCACTCATACTTTTCCATAATTCTATTGCATTATCAAAAGGTGCTAAAGCCCTACCTACTATAATGGAGCTCATAATCATCCCACCAGTAGTCATCGCTTCTCCTCTAGTACTGACCACGACATAAGCACCAATACCCGTTACTAGCATTTGCATAATATTCCGGATAAATCTAGAAAAATTAGAAATAGCACCATTACGGTAACTAGCTATTGACTGTTTTTCTAAAGAAGCAATATTAAATTTATGCCAATTGGCTGTGACATTTTTCATCATTCCCATAGCTTCTACTACTTCTGAATTTCTATTAGCGATATCTGCTTGTACCATACCTTTTATTGAAAATTCCGTGGCTTCCCCCAGCGTTCTATTAGTAGCAGCAGCATTAAAAAAAGCTGTAGATACAATAATTACCGCCCCAATTAAAGTTAGAATTCCAATATATGGATGAATTAAAAAAATCACTACTATATAAATAATACTCCAGGGAGCATCAAATAAAGTATTAATTCCTGTACTAGTTAAAAATGTCTTGACAGTTTGAAAATCACGAAGTAATTGACTAGCTGCCGTGTTAGTACGAGTTGCTGAAGCAGAGATAGAGTAGCCAAAAATTGTAGGAGCGACTGTTTTGTCTAACCATTCCCCGACTTTAATTAGAGTAAATGAACGCGCAACTTGTAACAGCCCATAAATAAAATATATTGAGCCAATAATTACCGATAACCACATTAAGGTCCATAAATTACCACTACCTATAACTCTATCCAAAACTTGCAAAGAATAAAGAGGAGTTATCAACATTAATAAATTAATGACAAATGCAAACCAAAAAACTACCCAGAAAGCGCTTTTACATTTATTAATCGCATCATTTAAGGGGTTTTTAATTTGTGATCTATTGATTGATGCACTATTATTTTTCATATTACCGTTATATATTTGTACTTTAATTCAAATGAAAAATTATTAGTTAATATATTTATATATACTAATTTTCTTACCAAAAAACAACCTAGACTATAAAAAATTATTTGTTAGTTCAATTATAATGTATATCCTCTTCCCAACTTACTCTAAAGTAAGAATCCAAGATTTCTTTCGAAAGCTTATCTCTTAGGTTATTCTCAAAACCATAAACTATTAAATAAGATATAGCAAGGTAAGGATTAATAGTCTGCGACAACTTTAAATGTAGCTTATGGAAATTTTGCGCTGCATCATAGTAATAATCCGGGTGTATTTGACTTAATTCATTTACTACTTCCCCAGAATATTGTACAAGCTGATTGACAAAGTATACATTGTTAGTACTATTTTCTAAATTGTAAATTATATTGGAAATAATTGTGGTAGCAAGTTTTTTATTGTATTCCTGCTCCGAGAACACCAAATATAAATCATTTTTTAACTCATTTAAGAAATATGCTATTTTTCCATAAGACTCTGCAATATTCTGGATGATAAAATTAGTAATTAGTAGATAATCTGCTACATTAAGGTAGCTATGCGCTTTAATAATAATAGAACAGCTAGAGAATTTACGAGCATGACAGTGAAAAATTGTAGGAATACCAATTTTTTCAAGAATATCAAGTATTTCGGCACGTAAATTTTCTAACTGGTCATATGGTTCAACCTGATTTTGATAATTTATTAATTTATGCTCTTGCCCTACAAAATTTTCAGATTTGTTGACAATAAAAAAATTAATTCCTAATTCAAATTCAATACTATTAATAGTATTATCAGCTAATGTAATTTCCTGTAAAAAAAGACGCGGATTATATTGTTCACTTAAATTATCGCATAAACAAAATAAAGTTATATAGCTCCTGAATGGATCAACAAAACACTGCTCATTAATTGGGCGTAATTTTATATTATTTACTAATATGCAACCTTCTAATATTACTAAATTTTTTACTGCAATATCAATTTGTCGTAACTTCCCTTCCTTACCCAGATACTTCAAAGAGATAAACTTTGCTTCCGTACTTTCTATTTTATTATAAAGTACTTCTATAATGTGCATTAAAACCCTTTAATTAATTCTTCTGCAATATGCACCCCATTTAATGCTGCCCCTTTACGTAAATTATCAGCTGTAACCCATAAATTAATGGTATTTTCTTGTGTGTCATCCCTGCGTATCCTAGAAACATATACTAGATCTTCTCCTACTGCATCTAGGGGGCATGAATATTTCATTTCATTTAAGTAAGAGTTAACACTTATAGACTCGGATTCTCTTAATATTTCTTCTGCTTCCGACACTTCAAGTTGCGTTCGAAATTCCACGTTAATAGACATAGAGTGAGAGACAAATACTGGGACCCTAACACAAGTGACGGTAGCTTTGGCATGCGGCCCTATAATTTTGGCTAATTCCAAGGAAATCTTTGATTCTTCGGTAGTAGAGCCATCATTACTAAAATGACCAATATGGGGAAATAAATTGAACGCTATCTGTTTTGGAAAAATTTGCGGTTGCACCTCATTAAAAACATATTTTGCTTTCGTTTGATTGTATAACTCATCCATGGCAGCCCTACCAGCACCAGAAACCGATTGATAAGTGGAGATTACTATTCTCTTAATCTCTGCAGCATTATCTAGAGGTTTTAATGCTACAGCAATAGGGATAGTACAACAATTTGGATTAGCTATAATATTTTTTCGAGTATAATTTTGTAAGGCTACCAGATTAGCTTCTGGCACTATTAAGGGTACTTCAGGATCAAGCCTAAAAAATGAAGATTTATCAATTATTATGCAGCCCTGCTGCGCAATTTGTGGTACATATTGTTTAGATATTTCAGAACCAGCCGCAAAAAATGCAATATCGACTTTACTAAAATCTATATTATCTATAGAAGTAATTTTTAAGGTATTATCTCCAAAACTAACCTCTTTGCCATAAGACCCACCTGAGGCTATCGCATATATGTTGTTGATAGGGAAGGCTCTTTCACTTAAGATTGCTAAGGTTTCACGTCCTACATTACCTGAGGCGCCTACTACGGCAATATTATATTTCTTTTCCATTACTTACCAAATAAATTGCTTTAACATAAGCACAGGCGGTGCCTCTTATATACTAAATTCTACTTTAATATTCAAGTTTAATCGATTAAATTAGATAAGTTTCTACCTCCAATAATATGATAATGAAAATGCAATACACTTTGCCCTGACTCTTCTCCTTTATTAGTAACTAAACGATATCCATCTTCTTTTAAGCCTACTAATTCAATAATATATAATAACTTACTAAAATAGTTTTTTAATTTCTATATCCGATGCTTTATTTATGAAATCCCCATAATCTATATACTCTTTTTTAG